TGATGATGATGGCATCGTAGTGGAGGGTGTACTTCACCTAGGTTCTCCTCTCAACATCCTTAGGAAGATGATCCCAATTGGGTGTGCAGACCAGAGGGAGAACTATGTGAGATCGGCGATGAAGTGCCAGTTCCAAAGTTTGGACATGGTTGTACATCGAGTGTTAGTTGATCCCATTCCTCATGGATTTTCCCCACCAATGGGTCAGCAGGCACACTTTGACCCTCCCGTCCCATAACCTGATATGGATGTGGAGGTTGCACCTACGGTTCCCGATGCTCAATCCGCCCCCAATAAGCTAGTTGGAGATGCTTGTCAGACTCATGATGTTGTGGCAGATCCTCCTCATAAGATCCCTTTGACACAGAATCATCCGAGTAAGTGTCTTATCCGCATGGTTATTGGGAGCTTACCCCCTTTCTTACATCTATTTTTTCATTCTTTCCTCATTTTCTACTTATATTGCAGTAGACATTCCTGACAATATGGATGTCCCACTGTTGCTGCGCAAGCGCTCTATGGAGATGGATTTCGTGGCAACAATAGTGTTGAACTTATGAATGATTTGGAGCCATATGAGATGACAAGGGCTCTTCATTCTGATGATGATCGTCCTATTGGAGAGCTAACAGAGAGTGATGTTGAGATGCTGAGGCGTATCTTTTTTAGCCGTCGTGATCCAAGAGTTCACGAGTTCAGTGATCTTGCTCATTCCGATCAGGCGTGTGCAGAAGGACGTGATGATGAGCTCCTAGAAGCTCTTGAGACCAGCCCTAACATGGTAATTGAGAATGGAAGGGTATTCAAGGACCTCCCTGCATTGAAGAGGTGGTTGTAGGCGTTTACAGTGATACGAAAGAGACCTTACAAGGTCTTGCATTCATATGCGGAGCACCGTTATACAGTTGTGTGTGAGAAGGAACGCTGCCCATGGAGGGTTTGTGGAAGGAAGTAAAAGGTCACCAGAAAGTGGAAGATCACAAAAGTTGTCGGGCCACACAATTGTGTTGATCATGTGCTAACACTAAAGCATCGACAGTTGACATCTACCCTCATTGCCAAGCGGTTGATGGGAATATTGCAGGGAGAACCCAACATGAAGGTTAGGATAATTATCAGGACCGTTGAGGTGTTGTATGGAGGTTATGTGATAACTTATGGTAAAGCTTAGAGGGCTAAGCAGCAAGCATGGAAGATGATATATGGGGACTAGGAGGATGGGTATGAGTAGCTGCCAGTACTTTTCAATGCAATTAAAGCGGTGAATCTAGGCATGCATTATGAGTACATCCCAAAACCAAATGCATGGAAGGATGGGAGGCAGATATTCTTTCGTGCTTTCTGGTGCTTCCCTCAGTGTGTCGAGGCCTTTAGGCACTGTCGTCCCGTCTTCTCCATTGATGGTACGTTCTTAATTGGCAAATACTAGGGCACACTTTCTTATAGCCATATCATATGACGCGAACAATAAGTTGGTTCCTTTGGCATTTGCTTTGGTTGAGAATGAGAACAATGTTGGGGATGGTTCTTGAGGCTAGTCCGGATACATGTGGTTGGGCCTGGCAGGGAGGTTGGCGTCATATCTGATAGGCACTAGGGCATACTTAATGCCATGCGAGAGCAGATAGAGGGGTATGCATTTTTGCACCATCGTTGGTGTACTCGGCACCTTGCCAAGAATCTACTCCGAAAGAATGGTGTGAAGGATAACTTTGACCTGTTCTAGGAGGCTGCTCGACAGCTTGAGGACAAGTACTTTCAGAAAAAGTTAGAGCAGGTTAGAACCACATCAAATGTAGAAGGTAGACAATGGCTCACACGTTTGATGAGAGATTTAGAGAAATGGACAAGAGCTCACGACGCCGGTAGATGGAGGTATGAGTTTCAATGCAGCAACATGGCGGAATCATTCAATAAGTTGCTATTGGGGATACGTGGTATGCCCATGAATGCAATCGTTTAATTCACCTTCTACATGCTTGTCGCCTGGTTCAACGATAGACATGGCCATGCATTGAAGTTGCGGAGTGATGAAGAGATATGGGCTCTGAAACCAAAGGCACACCTAGAGAAGGCAAATGAAAGGGCTGGCACACATGAGGTTACATGTTTTGACCATGCCACAAGGACTTATCAGGTCGAGCATAGGTGCGGTACAACATCCGACGACGAGGTCTGAGAGTCGAGGATGCATGTGGTAATCCTCCAAGATTTCACGTGCACTTGTGGTAAACCAAGGCAATACCACTTTCTATGTTCTCATTTAGAGGCAGCAGCTAGGCATCGCAACTATAATATCGAGAGTAGGATACCTCATGAGTTTAGTGTCGACACGCTTGTGCACACATGGAGCCCCCGCTTCGTGCCTTTTCGAGACCCTGGAGAGTGGCCTCCATATGATGGGCCAAAGTACATTGCGGATCCAGCTTACCATTAGAAGAAGCGTGGTTCAGGGAAGAGGACGAGGCACAGGATGGTTATGGATCAGATACCTAGAAGAACGAGACATGGGAGAGGAGCCCCATTTCTTACTGACCCTAAGTGGTATAAGTGCGGCAAGTGTGGTAGACTGGGCCACAATTCATGCACTTACCATTGGCAGATTAATAAGGTGTGAATATTGATTGTTTTTATTATTTCATATTTATCGCATTCATTCAATTAATTATGCATGTCTCAATTTATGCTTGTAATTGTGTCAATTACTTGTACATTTCTAAATTTATGTTTCATTGTATATTGAATTTCTATTTCATTGACTTTTTTAGGATGGCGTAATTCCACCTGCTCGACTCGGCGTACGAGAAGACCCACCGAGGATGTCTCATAGCGGAGGGACAGGTAATAATCTATATGTTTTGTTCAAATTTTTGTGAGCGTGCATGTGTTCGTAAAGTAATGGGAGACTATGTTTTATTCCATGCAGGACCTTCCGCCCCTTTGTCCTAGAATCCACAATGGGTTCTTGGACATGCAGTACTATAACAGGTACACTCCTTTCCTGCAAAGAGCTGCCCTGGATGTCATCTCTTTTCAGGTTCGTCGTGGGTTGCCCAAGTTCAACTCAGCGACCATAACTGCGTTGGTTGACAGGTATTATCTTCAATCATTGCCTCCATTCATGGCCATTTGTTCATGCGCTTGTCTTTTTGACATGTAATCTTGCTTTGTCTAAAATGTAGGTGGCGGCCAGAGACTCACAGCTTTCACTTGCCTTTCGGAGAGATGACAGTCACGCTCTAGGACTGTCAAAAGATGCTAGGTCTAAGGATTCACGGCAACGCAGTGACTGGGCAATGCAGGTCAGAAGGTTGGAGAGCACGAGTAGAGGCCTTCCTTGGACGTGAGGTTGGCGAGCAAGGGGCTCGCACTTCTGGAGTTCTAATCTCCTGGCTCCGTCTATATATATGCGTTCTAGGATGCATTGCTAACCAAAAGGAAAATCAAACTAGTATTCGGTTTTGTCGGAGTAGAAATGTCTGGAGGGTCATCTAGAGGAAAGGGTTTCAGGAGTGGGAGAGGAAATGGGGGGACGAAGGGAACTCCCATTGTGTGGGAGGGGTCTCTTCGGCCTGATTTCTTTGTGGAATCAGTGTATCAGTTTCCACCCGAGAGCAAGAGTGATTTCACTAAAGAGTGCCCTCCCAGATGATACGATAACAGGAAGGAAGATTGGTCAAAATGCATGCATGGTGAGGACTGCTTAGTGCAGATGTTTACCGAGGGGATCGACGAAGGTCTTCGCTTCTTCAAATGCCCGCGGGCATGGGTAATTACTAATATATACCGAATCGATTTAAAAAAACTAGGAGGGAGCGAGGATACCTTACTCTCGAAGATCTACGGATCAAATCAAAGTTTTTAAGGTCCAATATGTCGTGAGGTAGGGCGAAGTGGGGAGAGAAAAAACCCGAGAGGAGAAAAAAGAAGAGGAAGAAGGCTCGGACAGAAAGGTTGGGCGCCGGGTTAAAACACAAGCTCGCCGCCGTAGATCTCGGCGCCAAGATCAACGGCGCCGAGCTTGGCGCCAAGATCCACGACGCCGAGCTGGCTGCCATGTCAGCATCCACGCCTCTAACGTGGCCCTGACCTAGGCGTCGAGACGTGTAAGCTCGGCGTCACCAACGATGGCGCCGAGTTAAGGGTCCAGATTTTAAAATCATAACTTTAGTGAACATATTTGTGAAATTTTTTTGAAAAAAGGGCTAAAAAAAATCAGGCTCAGCGGCAGAGCCATGTTTTTTTTAACCCCAGTTTGGGCTCTCACTCTTCCCAGCCTCTGTACACAGGGGACTTGGTCCTTGATTAGCATTTGGGCCTAATGTGTTAGCGCCAAGCGCCACCGCTTGTGCTGATTTAAAAAAAAAGAGGATGTTATGGCCTCTAAAAGGGACACTGTGCAACCTCCACTTGTTCTAAGTTACATCCATGAATAGAGAGGTTTACTCAATATATGTAAATCTCACTTGCTATCAATAAGTGCTACAATGACATGAAGTTTTTGAGGACAGACATAGTAAATCGCAATTTGCAGGGCAAGTTGGAATGAACAATAGACGACATATCTGCAAGACAAAGTACATGTGAATACGGCAAAATGGTACGGAGTATATATAGAGCTACAATTGATATGTGCGGACGAACAAACAATAATTAGCAGATTGGGCTGGCATGTTGCTTTGTCTTTGAGGGCGCTTGGTCCCTGTGCGTGGCTTTGGGCTGTGGCAGTGTGGCCAGTGGGCTTTGGGCTCCTGGTGTGTCGTTGGTCTGTTGTTGTTTGGGCTGTTTCTTGGTTGGTTTCTGGGCTGGTAAGCCCAGCTGGTGCTGGTTTGTTGTAAAAGAAAAATACTGTTGGCTGGCTGATAAGTTCTGGCTTAAACCAACAAGCAAACAGGCTGATTGTCGATTTTTCTCCTCTCTATAATACCATTCTTATTCTTATACAGTACGTATAATATGGTTTTGACCGCAGGTGCGCCATTTCAGTCACCACTGAAGAACTAGTTGCCCGGCACGAGCGGTGGTATGCTCTGCTCATTCCTGAAGTAGTCGTCGGGGTCAATCTCACCCTTCACCATCGCAAGCCTCTTGTAATTGTCCATGAAGTACTTTTCGCCCCAGACCTTGCCGGCGTCGTAGCTGCTGACGTTGCCGACAACGACGTTCTCACCGAGGTCCAGGTCCCTGTAGTTGAAGTAGGCCTCCCTCGGGCTCGAGCTCACGTGTGGCTCCATGAACGCGTACAAGTCCCTAATCCACTTCGTATGCGCTGACCCGTCTCCCTTGGCCATCCAGAAGCTCACGTACTGGATGTTGTACAGCACGCCGGCGCGGTGCGGGAACGGCGTCGCCGACTCCGGCACGGCGCTGATCCGCGCGCCGTAGGGGTCCAGGATCATGAGCCCCGCGTTGGGCTGCGCGAGCTTGCCGAAGATACTGGGCCACGCGTCCCGCGGGATGGCCTGCCGGACGTAGTCGGACGTCATCTTGGTGTAGGTGCTCAGGGAGGTGGTCCGGTTCAGGATGTCCTCCACCGTCGCGCCGGCGCCCAGGAAGAAGTAGGGCACGGTCTGAATCCAGGTCATCTCTTGGCAGTGCGTGCGGTTCATCCCGAGCTCCGGGAAGCGGCGTCTCATCACCGGCACGAGCGCGTCGCACGTGCCGAGGTACAGGGATTCGAAGGTTGCGCTCTGGTTCTGGAGGAGCGCCCTGATGAAGAGGTCGTCCGGGAGCGCTGGCGCGACCTCCTGCCATCTGGTCACCACGTCCAGGGCGCCCTCGCCGGCGGTGACCGGGATCCTGAACACCGTGACCGTCGGCGGGACGGGCACGAGCCTCACCTGCCACGACAGCACGATGCCAAAGCTTTCGCCGCCGCCGCCTCGAAGCGCCCAGAAGACGTCACTCCCCATGGCGGTCTGGTCCAGGAGCCTTCCCTTAGCGTCCACCAGCACGGCGTCCAGGACGTTGTCGCTGGCCAGGCCGTACTTGCGCAGCAGCGTGCCGAAGCCGCCGCCGCTGAAATGACCCCCGACGCCGATGGTCGGGCACAGGCCGGCCGGGAACGCGAGCCGGTCGCTGGCCTGCCCGACGGCGTAGTACAGCTCGCCGAGCGTCGCGCCGGAGTCCACCCACGCGGTGGAGCTCCGCGTGTCGATACGGACGGCGCGGAGGCTGGACAGGTCCACCACGGCGAACACCTCCGGGCGCTGAGACCTGTAGGACAGGCCCTCGTAGTCGTGCCCGCCGCTGCGCACGCGGAGGCGGACCCCGTGCCGGCGGCCGCAGACCACGGCCGCCTGTACGTGGGAGGCGTTCGTCGGCGTGACGATCCACCGCGGCCTCACCGTTGTTGGCGTGAAGAACCTTGGGTTCCTGATGGATGACACCAGGACCGAGGTGAACGACGGCGAGCTCTGCGTGAAGACGAGCTGGCTGGGGATGCTCGCCGAGAGGCATTGGGGGAAGTCATCGGGTGAAGCGCGGGAACAGATGATGGCGTCGTAGCAACAGAGGAATGTGAAGGCGAGCCCCAGCGCTGAGCTCTTGGCTATGGCCATGGCCATCTTTTCTGCTTGCAGATTTGCTAGCAAGATCTCACCGAGCTCGATCCACGTATATACAACCCCAGGAGGTGCGACATTGAAACACGTGCAGGATCGATTCTCTCTTTCGTGGAAACGTTACGTTCGTCGGTGGTGGTGTTGTAGCACATTACGCAAGTCGGCAAGTGGGACGAAACGAATGGAAAGTAAATGGTCAAGCATCTAAATCGCCTCCCGACGTGGCGACGGTTAACTGGCGCGTTGAAGTCAGCTCTTCAACTGGAACGGTCAAAGGTTACGACTTACGACTGACCATAAGTCCACAACCTTCTGATCTATATTCTATACTATATGCCAAGGAAATCAAAATATCCATTCACCTAAATACTTTATATTTCATATCCACCATAATTCTTGTCCCTTAGATCTACATTAAACTTACCAACGTATCTAAATCTTTCACCTTAATTTGACAATCGGTCCCGATCGGAAACTATTCAGAAAGTATTTACATTAACAACATGTTTGTCTCTTGTACCACGCTCCTCCTACGCGTTTTTTTTTTCACCAACGAAATCTTTACCCACCCGCGTACCGTACCCGCGCCTCCGCATCCGTAAGGCCACGACGCAAACCGCTCCGCTCGGCCATCCCTCCCCATCGGCGCCGCCGCTCCCTCCCGATATGCGACACCACTCCAACCTCTTCCCTCCCCATCCATCCACGCGACCACGCCCCTTCGCCGCATCCCCAGCCCACAAGCATCGCGGCCCCAGAACCTCCACAAGTGTCGGCGGCGGCGGCACCCCCAGCCCATTCTCCCACGGTTGCTGGCCTCGCGTAGTCGAGGGGCACGGCAACAGCGGCCCCTGGCCCGTTCCCCCACGGCAGCAGCACCCTGTGGATCCGACGACCCTCCCCCGCGCCCCACCGCGGCGGCGCCCCCTCCTCCACGCCCTCTGAAGATCCTGATGCGGTACTCCGTTCGTTGGTGCATGCAATCCAGGTACATGTGCAGTTTAGAGATCTCCGACCATCTGTGATTGATTTTTTCCCTAATCCTAATTAATCTCCTCGCATCGTGCAGAGGAGGAGCCGATTGGTGTTATGTCTGTTCATCTTCTTTAATCAAATTGCCTTATCGGGAGGAGACTCTTCACAAATCCCATCGATCCATGCATTCCTCTATCTGTCATCGATGAGTAAACAGGTGACCGGTGACGAATCTGATCTCCGTTCGTATATGCAATTGGATCAAGAGAGTATACGTGCATGACTGCATCTAATTGGTCATGCTATTTTCTTTTTTTTTTTCACGCAGATGTCTCTTTCTAGATCCAACTCCTCTGCCTCATCTGATTTCTAATATGTAGTACCACATTGCAGCGATTATGGATCTAGCATTATATTTCTCTTGGCTGAATTTATATTCATCTGAGCGGAAGCTGGAGTCTGTATACCAGGATATATAATTGTTCCTACTCGTTAGAATCTACAAATATATCATCTTTTCACATACTTTTTGTGAGAAGACGTATTGATTCATACTCAGAATCAGTGCAATTATATAATGTACTTTCAAGAGATACGTATATACCCATACTCTGATGCTTCAGCATTACAAACTTAAAAGTGATCATGTATGTACTCATACACAAAATACACCCATACTGTACTTTCGAATTGATGTATGCATGTATACTCCTAATCATGTATGTACTCATACTCAAAATACACCCATACTGTACTTTCGAATTGATGTATGCATTTAAGCTCCTAATGGTGTACATACTACAAACTGATGTGACCACGTATACTACATTGGTGGATGGACATTACTCCCTAATATAATAAGAGCATGTATGCACAAATACTACAACCATCGTGTACATATATATACGAACATACTCTCTGTCGGGTTGTAACCCCAAGGTATCTCAAGGCACCAATTAGTTAGCAGGCTGCGCGGCATGCAATGCAACAGACAGTAAGGGTCAGCAAGGGTCCAAACGACCGAGGCCAAGCAGGAGCCGAGCAGAACAGGTCAGGAACTAAGGCCGGGGTCGGCCGCGACCCAATCTCTAGCCTTAGCCGTGCGCGACGTTCGCAAAGCACACGACCTCTCCACATTACGATCCTCGGAAGGAATGGGGAGAGGTCGCGTCCGACCAAGCGCTCCTACTCTGACAAAAGCGAGCACGCTGCACTGAACCCATAAGGACCGAGAGGACAGCAGTCCCCTCAGCCCGGTCAGACACCAACCATGTGCCACACCGCACGGACAAGACAACACTACCTCAAAGCGGTGATAACAGGTACGAAGACCACCAAACAGATACGGCCCGACGATACGGACATACGGTCCCACCGACTGCGGGATGGGATCCACGACGAAGGCCACGACATCGAAGCCATCTAGACTGGCAGCAAGCCCCGACCTCGACAACTAGGGTCATGACCCTCAGCTCCTCAAGACAAGACGGTCATCGGCGACCCGGGGCAGCCACAAACTCCCGTACGACGCCCCGGGAGACAAGACAATGACAACGAGGACCACGATGGAGACCATGCCGCGTAGGACGGCTGGCGAACCAACACCATGTCTACAGCGTCGCCACGGCCGGCACAGTAACACTATGTCATACCCTGTCGTGGCATGGCCACAACACCGTGACGATAGCCACGACCGGACGAGCACCAGAAGACGACGTAGCTTGTAAGCCAAGTTAGATAGGATCTCCCTCGGGCTCATGACCCTTCGGTCGGGAGAGCCTTCTCTTTGTATGAGCCCTAGCCCCAAACTCTATATAAGGACTGCCAGGGCAAAACGATTGACATCCTCTACCATTCCATTCATTCACCATTGTAGTAGGGCTCCTGGAGCTTCTCTTTGGGCAGCCCTTCACCTAGCATAGGTCCTTCCATATCTTCCATCCTTCTTGCACCCTCCATTGTAAGAATTTCAGAGCATTCAAGCGGGGAACATGCACTCGATCATCTCTGAGACTCATGTCAATTGGATGCTACCATCGTCTTCCTAAAGCAGTGCGGCAATTGTATAAATTTACTAGTCTGGTTTACAAAACATCGATAGTTGGCGCGCGGTAGGGGACAGTCATGCACTCTCGATCGTTGAGAAGGAAGCGATGGCTCCCTGCACTTACGTTGGACTTGCTCTTGGCGTGGCTCCCGGCGGCCGCATCTGCTTCGGAAACCTCGAGTTCGCCGACATCAATAGGCCAGCTCCCGTAGACGGTCTTGTCCCCGGCCAAGCCTTGTGCTTCGGGGACTTGGACCTCGTGGCTGACCGCCTGGGTCAGTCACGACTGGGCGAAGAGAATGCGGCTCCGCCGCACATCTCGATGCCTGATCACGGACCAACCCGAGCCGATCCTACGATCGTCGACTCCGATGCGCTAGCATGTCGAGTCGATGCCTCAAACCGCGAGCCAGAGTTGAGTCGACGCGTGTTTTACGTGTTGGCAAACGCTTTGGCCCAACTCTCCGGAGGCGGGCCCTTGCCGCCAGAGGCTGAATTCTGGAACCCCAGCACTCCACTGCCCTCCGAAATGAGGGACACGATCGCGCGCTTCGAGCAAGAGCTGGCTAGGCGCAGCGGCCAGTGGCCGAACAATGACGCCAGATTCCCCCGGGCTCGTGGGGATGATGGAGCGGGACCCAGAGTCCCTCTACGACCTGTTGCTAGTGACCCCTGAGAGCACAGACTCTAAGTCTGACTCCGAGGGGAGCTGCCCTCCGCTGAGGGAGTGCAACATGTTGCACCCTTCGGAGGAGGGGGTAGCGCCGCTGCAGATGACGCAAAGGACGATGCCTATCCGATTCCCTGCACCCCCGGTGAATAGGCCGAGTACAACCAGGAGCGCTTGGAATGAGCCAGGGCGCGGGAAGCTGATCAGGCCAACGCACGCCGCGACGATGGATGCCCTAGCCTGCAACACCTCGACGTTGAGGGCGCGTCAGGCACGGGCACACCGTGTGTATGATCAAATCGAACAGTGTAAGAGGGAAACACCAGTCTTCCCTCGAGCTAGCTAGAACGTCGTGGTAGCCACCATGATCATGTGGATGGCCCCTGAGCCCTCGATCGATGAGGGAAAGCGCGTCCATCAGGAATTGCGAGACTTGTTGGAAACCACAGCGATACAGAAGGTCAAAGTTCCACAGGGAGGCGACATCCTGAGGCCAGCTTCGTACACATCTCCTCAGCGCATGGCACCCCTGAAGGACACCACGCACAAAGCATGCTTCGACCAGACGACGGTGGCATGGCACATAGGTGGGAACCCTCCCCAGCGCGTAGCCACTACGTCGGACACCACAATGCCCGTCCAACTCAAAGCATCAGGTGCCCTGGGCTAGACTGGGCGGTCGAAGATCAATTACATTATGGTGATAGCGACCTAGACAACCATGCCCAGCATCCCAGGGTGTGGGACACTCGACGTAGCCCGAGCCAAGATGCCTATGGCCCGCAAGCGTTTGCAAAAAGGATCCGGCAGACGCCATTCCCGACGCACTTCCGCGCGCTGCCAAACATCGTCAAGTACTCCAGGGATTCCAACCCCGCCGTGTGGTTGAAAGACTTCTGCCTCGGCTATCGAGCAGGCATGGCAGACGATGACCTCTTCACCATCCAATACTTGCCGCTCTACCTTGCAGAAAGTGCCCGAGCATGGCTCGAGCATCTCACCGCGAACAGCATGCACTTGTGGGTGGACTTAAAGCTCATCTTCATAGGGAACTTTCAGGGAACGTAAGTGCGCCCTGGAAATTCTTGGGACCTCAAAGCCTACAAACAAAAAGCGGGAGAGACTCTACGCGAGTACACCCGCCGCTTTTCCAAGCAGTGCAACGAGCTTCCTGATATCGTGGATGCGGATGTGATCGGAGGAGCGTTCATCTCGGCATGACCAACGAAGCGCTCGTTCATGACCTCGGACGCTGCAAACCACGAACGACATGGGAGTTGCTTGACCTCACAACAAGCCACGCCTCCGGCG